TGTAATTTCCGCTGACTTTGCTGTTGCCTATCACGAACACAATTTGAACGATACACAAATAATGTTTTTATTGGTATCAATATTATCGTTGTGAGCAGTAGCCTCTGAATACCAATATCGTTAATGGCCGTGGAAACAGAATTAGAAAATTGTATTTGTTACTGCTTTTTTTCCCCCCCAAGTTATTTTTAACATGATATCATCATTTTCCTTTCCTGTTATCGTTAACGTGTTACTGAATTATCTTTGCATATATATTCTACAGTTCGAATTTTAACCGTTATTACTATTTTCGAAAAAAACAACATAACATCATGATAACTAAGAACATTTTCCATTTCCGCTTTTTACCATCCTCACACTACTCATTACTACGTCTATGTTATTAAAAAAAAATCATACAACGGTTAACATTTATGCTGCATGAAAGACGCAGTTAGTTAAATATTTTTAAAAAAGAGGCGTTTGATGTTTCCTGAATGCTGATATTTGTGGAATGATTAATTACTTTGTATAACCGGGCACTTCTATTTCTGATTCATCTGTAGGTAATTCGGAAGCTTGGGGAAACACACACAAAGACACACATATACACTGTGTGTGTGTGTGTGTGTGTGTGTGTGTGTGTGTGTGTGTGTGTGTGTATGTGTGTGTGTGTGTGTGTGTGTGTGTGTGTGTGTGTGTATTATAAATAAACAATTATATATATAGTATATAACATATACATATACATGTGTGTGAGTGTGTGTATGTGTAATCATCACTTACATTATACGCATCAGGAACGAATTCATAGTAGATTAATAAATGCCTTTTGATCATCCTCAAAGGGATGAACTGAACACCAACTGCGCATCGGTTCATCAATGTTGTCTTTGAACTCTGCATCTTTTGTCACTCGTCACGTATCTCGCGCCGCCAGTCTGCCACGCGGACACGGGGGGGGGGGGGGTTCTCTCTCTTTTTGAGAGGGAGAGAGATAAAGAAAGAGGGGGAGGGAGGGAGGGAGATTGAGAGAGATTGAGAGGGATTGGGAGAGAGAGAGAGATTGAGTGAGAGAGAGAGGGGGGAGATTGAGAAAGAGAGAGAGTGGGGGGGAGGATTGAGAGAGAGATAGTGAGAGAGAGAGAGAGAGACAGAGAGAGAGAGAGAGAGAGAGAGAGAGAAAGAGAGAGAGAGAGAGACAGGCAGAGATAGAGACAGAGAAAGACAGAGACGGATATAAAGACAAACACAAAGCCAGACATATAGAGAGAAAGAAACAGATAAAAAAAGAAAAAGAAATATATACAGAGAAAGAAAGAGAAAGGAAAAGAGAGAGAGAGAGAAAGAAAGAGACTCTCACAATCTACATCATTTGTTTCCGCCTCGATTAAGTTCAGGATCAAAGGCCAATCTCCCTCCCGGTGCCGCAAGTGCCTCGAAGCAGCGCAGGGTATGGATTGAGTGCCAGTCGCGGGACCTCGCACGCGTCTCTCCCTCCCCCCCCCCATCGTCCTCATCTGCTACTAATCCTGGCCACGTGGCACTGATGTGGGGGGGGGGAGGATTAGGAGGGGGCAAAGAGGGAGGTGGAGGGGTGTTGGGGTTAGATGGGGGAGGAGGGGGTGCTGGTGTTGGAGTATTAAAGGGGGGCGGGGGGAGGGGGGTGCTGAAGGCTCTTTTACAGCCAGTGTCTCCCATCCTGGTGCCCCCCGTACCCCCTACACCGCCCCCCCTTCCCTCCACACTTCATCTCCTCGTCTTGAGTGACTGCCTTTCAATATCTTTAACTAGTCTTGTTGCATTATTACTCTTTCTTATTGTATTATTCCTTTTTGTATCTTTATCTAATATTATCTATTATCTTTATCTAATATTATCTATTATCTTTATCTAATATTATCTATTACCTTTATCTAACATTATCTATTATCTTTATCTAACATTATCTATTATCTTTATCTAATATTATCTATTATCTTTATCTAATATTATCTATTATCTTTATCTAACATTATCTATTATCTTTATCTAACATTATCTATTATCTTTATCTAATATTATCTATTATCTTTATCTAATATTATCTATTATCTTTATCTAACATTATCTATTATCTTTATCTAATATTATCTATTATCTTTATCTAATATTATCTATTATCTTTATCTAATATTATCTATTATCTTTATCTAATATTATCTATTATCTTTATCTAATATTATCTATTACCTTTATCTAACATTATCTATTATCTTTATCTAACATTATCTATTATCTTTATCTAATGTATTATTACTGTTTCTATTATTGCTATTGTAACTGTTTCCTATTTTGTGTGATAACTGGGTAACCTTATAGGCAGGCTGCTTGTGTGTGTGTGTGTGTGTGTGTGTGTGTGTGTGTGTGTGTGTGTGTGTGTGTGTGTGTGTGTGTGTGTGTGTGTGTGTGTGTGTGTGTGTGTGTGTGTTTGTGTGTGTGTGTGTTTGTGTGTGTTTGTGTGTGTGTGTGTGTGTGTGTGTGTGTGTGTGTGTGTGTGTGTGTGTGTGTGTGTGTGTGTGTGTGTGTTTGTGTGTGTGTGTGTTTGTGTGTGTTTGTGTGTGTGTGTGTGTGTGTGTGTGTGTGTGTATGTGTGTGTGTGTGTGTGTGTGTGTGTGTGTGTGTGTGTGTGTGTGTGTGTGTGTGTGTGTGTGTGTGTGTGCGTTGTGTGTGTGTGTGTGTGTGTGTGTGTGTGTGTGTGTGTGTGTGTGTGTGTGTGTGTGTGTGTGCGCGCGCGCGCTTGTGTTCGTATGAATAATATTAAAACTTGGTCTATGAAGAACATATCT